CCTCTTGTTTTGGCCACAATTATGGAAACATTGCGCCTCGGAAATGTTGCTGAGGTAGCTATTCCACATTACACTCTGAGCGATACTACATTGACCGGTTATCGCGTTCCAAAGGATACCGTTGTGATGATCAACCTAATGGCCGTTCATCTTGATCCAAGCCTTTGGGAGAACCCAAACTCATTCGACCCTCGTCGCCATATTGACTCTGATGGCCAACTTATTACCAACTCTGGCAGTTTTCTGCCCTTCTCAGCTGGACGCCGGGTTTGTGCTGGTGAGGCCTTGGCAAAGGTGAGACCTATTTCCCATGTCTTTTATGAATCACTTGGATAAGTTATTTTTAATTGTAATTACCCCCAGAGAATTAAGAATTTAAGAATTTTCCCCAAAGAATTTAGACAAAGAAAATTTGTCTAAAAACGACTTTGGTTGAAACGATTCTTAATATAATCTTGTAAAGACCGCTTCTCGGGACATATTGTTGTTATTATTATTATAAATATCATTTTAATATTGTATCAAATGCAAATACAAAAGTTTTGTGAATTATTTTCTTTTGTTTCTCTCAAGGTGGAGCTGTTCCTCTTCTTGTCCTGGATGCTGCATAGATTTACATTTCTGCCATCAGAGGATGGCAATCTCCCGGATCTAAAAGGAGAAAATGGGTTCACTCGCTTTCCAGCTGCTTACAAAATTAGGGTTGAAAAACGCCCGTAATAGGATTTCAAGGATGAACTATTGGTATAATACATATACGCTTTTCAATGGTTTTGGCTAGACAAACAATTAATGGAAAATAAACAATGACATTAGAGCCTATGATTTTTTCCTCGATCTTGGTATCTACACCTTTCGTGAAAATAAGAATTATTTCATTCAATTCGGTAATTACATCTCAGTAGTGGTTTATCTTGTTAGTGGAACTTGATATAATGCATGCTTTGAAAATCGTAGATAAAAATAGCCTTTAATGATGTTTAAATACAGAACCTGTTTCCTTGTTTCCTTACATGGTAAATTTAGAAAAAGGTTTTAATTAAAATAACACAGAGGTTTTTTCTTTTCTTTTTTTTTGCGAGTGATGTGATGCCAGGTTTCTTGTATTTTTTTTTCATTATACTGGCTTTTACTTTCTGTACTTTCTGACCGGGAAAACATTAACAATACTTCTTGGTCCAGGTTTTGGTCGCTTGACCCATAATCCCTTTTCAGGTAGTGAATTGCAACATTAAAGCTGAAAAGATTCAGTGCTTGGCGGGTTTTGCGCGTGTATTTGACTGGTAGCCCTTTTGGAAGTCTAAACTGACTCTCCTTCATCTCCTCCTGCAGTTCCCTTCACTCCAGTCTGGCCCAATGAATCGATCTACTGACCTCCTATCATCCCAGAGTCATGTTTGATTATTGTAACAAATACATTTGTGACTTACTTTGATATTTTGGCATTAAGAGGGACTTAAGATGGTCGTGCAAAATATTTGCAAATTGCCCTAACCTAAGGTAACTGACCTGGGCTCACCTTAGGATCAGACTTACCTAACTGGCCGTGGTTTCTCCTTGAACGCTTCCAATTTGCCCGTCAGTATCAGCTCGGCAACTTACATTAACAGGATGAACACGTCATATTTCAGACGTTGATTTGATTTGCCCCGATAATTGTCACGAAATTTGTCACCCAGATGGTCTTGCTAGATCTCTGCGTCTGACAGTTAATGTGTCTACTACAACTTTCATGTTCCCACTCTCGAGCTTTGATCATACCTGGGACCTCGTACAGGAAAAGGTCTGTTCAAATAAGAAAAACAAACAAACAAACAAATAGAATCCCCTGGCGTCTCGATTATGGAAACTTCTAGACAAAGCAACAAAGGTCGCCTAAATGAATTATGTACATACATTAGGTCCGCCATAGGAGCAGCTGAATATTGTGCGTCGCCGATCCTTATCAGGATTGATGCTTCATATCAAAGTTAGTACTTAAGGGTCTCGTATTTCAGAGTTCAAAAGTGTTCAAGATCAATGAGGTGATCTCACATCATTAAAACGCAGCCATGGAGTTCTTCCTACTGGAATATTTGACGTTCAAGAATATCTGTGTCGCTGTTGCTTTCTTGTCGATTCTCAATCAACTGATTGAACTTTATCAGTTCAGGAATATGCCACCGGGACCTCGTTTGACAAGTTTGCCGTTCATAGGAAATTTGATGAGCTTTGACTCAGGGGAAAGTTTCGGTGAAATAACAGCAAGGTTTGTTTACACTTCTAATTGCCCTTAGCAATTTATAATTGTTAACTACTCCAGCTAGTTTTTCCAATTATTTTCAGTTCTGTCCGCTTATAGCTCTTTGAATTAAAATTTTTACCCTTGCTATGTGTTCTTTGTTAGGGGGAAAAGTTATGTATTTTAGTTTTAGGACACATTTTAAATTTATTTATCGG